CCATAACCTCTGAATAAAACTTTTATGAGAAAACCTCAGCAAAACAGTGAAGAGTCATTCATTCACTATAAATGTAATCAAACTGCTCAGTTATTGGTATTTTTTTCCTTCTTTCTGCCAGTGGAAAGATACAACAAAATTTTTCCAAATATACAAAATTTAAATAAATAAGAGAGAAATAAAGGTAATCATATTGAAATAATAAGTTGAAACAGCAATTTTTGAAACAGCAACAACTTCATACCAATCTAACCACATTGCAGTGTTGCCTGAGAGGATCTAAAATAATACTGATATGTCTGTCTGCCTGTCTTTGTTTCTTTGTCTTTCAATGTGTGAAAGAGTACCAAAGGAGGAAGGAGAGAGGAGAGAAATAAACACAAGTAATGAAAACATTGAGAAAAGATCAGGGAAGCCTGCAAATGAGATGTAAATTTCAGAGTAAAAATTATTCCCAAATTTTATTGGAAAGCTCTCAGATAAGTGATTCTATAAATGATAGAAATAAAAGACTTTAGTGACAACAAAATAAGTATGTCTGTTAGCTTGCTTAGTTTTTTTTTTTTTTAAAGAAACAATGGGTATCTGTAGAATGTCTCAAATTCTATATCACTACAATTTGTGTTAGTCTTTTTCTTGATTTATTACTGATCTTGAAATTTCTATCAGAATATTATTTTTGTCCATTTAATCAATGCTTCAGAATTTGTCCTAGAGTGTTTGAAAAATCTGTAGTCATCAGGGTATATTTGTTCAACCTGGGTTTGCCAGGACAGTAGGAAGTTGTGTTCTTTTGCTCTGTCATACAATAGAGTGGCTATTTCAATGGACTCTCTCAGGATGGGGTCTAAGTTACCTTGTCCTTAGGGCTCAATACTATTAGATATTTTTGACTAAATAAAATTTGATCAACTTATTATTTCAATATGATTACCTAGTCTATTTCCAAAAGAACTTGAAAATATTCCAGTATTACTAAACTTTAATATAACATTTCTCTTTGATTAGTGGGCTTATGCTATCATTTTCAAAGCTTATTACTAAACTCTGGTTGTCCTTGTGATGTATACTCTCCTATCTTGTCAGTAGTACAATGAACAAACCTTGTGGTCTTGATCGTGCAAAGCAGTGAGCTAGGAATTAGGAATTTCCTAGTGTCAGTCATTAATGAGGCTAGCTTGATACATTTATTATTGTCAAAACCTTTAGTTTTTTATGTTCTTGTAATTTCTTCACAGTACAATTTAAAAGAAAACACATAATGTGTCCTGATTTTTTAAGAACACATTTTAGGAAAAAATGGTCATTACTCAAAGAATTTATACTATTTTCTAAAGAAAATATGAAAGAACCAGGAGGTATGATATATCATAGAGCTCTTTACAGATTTTAGTACATGGTAGGCCTTAAATAACACAATTTGGTAGTTTTTTTAGAAATAAAACAATGGCAATAGAAGTTTTTGAATGACTCTAACATTTCTTACTTTGTACTTATACAAGTTAGGCATGATTGTATGCATTCAGTATGCATTTAAACAATATAAAATATAAAAGTGAAAAGTAAAAAACTCTTTCTAACTGGGTTTCATTTATTTCTAGTAAAGCAAGCATGATTCTGGAATAGTCGAACAGTTATTGTGACAGTGCATTAAAGATACTCTACCAGCAGTAACCTTTCCTTAAATGAGTCAATTTCGAATTGGGAAAACAAAATATTACTAGAAACTGAATCACATCGTTCTATCCTCAGGTCCACAGTTATATTAGAACTTAATTTTAGGGACTCTATTTTGGGTAGAAACTTGAGCAAGAGACAAATATAAAGAGTCTTCATTTCCTTCCCTTCCTCTGCTTCCCACAGGGCAAAGGTGATATTGAGGAAGACATTATAGGAAGGAAGTGAAGCCTTCTTTCACATCTGCAATCCTATCTTTAATTTACTATCTGCTCAAACTGTTCTTTTTTTTTAATTTTAAAATTCTCAAGACCAAACTGATATTTTGGTCATAATTCAGTTAACATAAAGAGAAATGCCTGTAATGTAAAATTAAGTATTAACTGAAAGGTAATTAATGCTATAATTCACACATTGGTATAGTTAAATGGATACAGGGTAGCTGAATAAATTGCTTAATTTTCCAGTTACTTTAGAAATTTAAAGTATTAAAATTCAAAAGTCAGAATTTCTGTGATATCATTATACAATAAATAGTTGGACTATTTCCATCTATCAATAATGCCATCTGTCCTACCCAATACAAATGGACTACAACCCATATGGCTCCTTTCCCCATTGATTACTCTGATGAATGAGAAAGCAAAACCACTCAGAAAACCTTCATATTATATGACACTGTCATTAAAAAGATAGGGAGAAAGGAAAAACACAAGATGAGACTTAATTTGAAACTGTCAAGTCAATTCTGTAAAGTTTCAACAACCAATATTATGATCCTAAAAAGTATCAGCATGTTGAATAATATTATGTCAGTCAGTACTCTCATAGCACCTTCAAAGAAAATCAAAGAACCAAAAAATTTCTGGAAAGAGTATAATAGCTTATTATGATATGTTCAGATTAATAATTATTCCAGTAAGAATATACTAAAATATCCTTTCAGGCATGTGTAATTAAATTAAAACACTTTTCTTTCACTTTATAGAAAATTATAAAGTGATCATTTATCATGTGATAGCAAGCCATTTTTAAAGCAAAACTAGATACATTCTTTATGTCTTATAATGTTGGCTATAAATTTCAACTCAGCAAAATGATTTTTTCCAAATGCATTTGCTTCTTAACTATAAATGTACTCTCTTACAAAAGCAAAATAATGACATATAATGATTCTATAGCAAATTACTCTAAGCCTTACCTAAATTGGTATTAGCTAAGCAGGAAACTAAATGCCACTACTCAACTTTTCTGTTTGATATGGTAATTTGCATTACATTTAGTTGTTAGGTTGGTATGGTCCGCATGCCTGGAAATTACTTTTATTTGTCAACATCTATAAAGATGGCCAGCATTTATTTTGCCCCTTAGCCTCATTGAAAAGATTCTACAAGCTTTTCCTGATGAAACTCTTTTCAAATTAGGACCCACATCTGTGTATAAGTGAGAAAACATTTTGAATAAATATGTTTACACTATATTAAAACGTAAGCTTCAATAATTTGAAGTTTTTTATCATCTTATTTTTAACTTGCATTGAATATCAAATGAAGCCACTGGGGAGAAAATCTGTGAAATAGCTCAAATTCAAATGTGTCAGCCACAGCAAAAATAAATTTAAATAACACACAAATCCAGGAAATATTTTCCTCTATCAGTTGAGGAAAGCAACTTTTGTAGGGATTTTAAAGATCCAGGTTCTCAAACATGTGAGCCTTAAACCCAATTAGATTCAGAAAGTGCAATAAGCAAAGAGGTAGCTAGTCCTGGCAAACTCTACCTTGTTGACAGGTTCAGCAAGAAGCAGGCTCATTCATGGAAAACAAGGCATCTTCAAAGCAACGTTTGCCAAATTAGCAATAGGCTTCATGGCCTCTGTGTTCCTGTTGATTCTAAAGAAACACTCCTACCTCTAGAAACCTTAAAGTACATAATTTTAAGAGAAATTTCAAGTTTGAGCCACTGATAATTATGTTACTGTACCAATGCTACATGATCTTCGTTGTAATTTTACATTATATTTTAATATCTGACACTGTCAGACTTTCTTCCTCCCACTCCTATCCTTCTCTTCCTCTTCCAGGTTTTTTTTTGTTTTTGTTTTTGTTTTTTTTGGTATAAATTTCCAGGCTAGTTTTGCCTGCTTTATTCTTCCATATTTACTTCAGAATCATTGTGCTAAGCACATTCCTTATTAGAGTTGATTTTAACAAAATTGTTTATTGCAGCATTAAATTTACCTTTACAAAAATTTGAGAAAACAAATCTTTAAATCATTTCTATTCAAAATGTAGTATAGCCTTTCAAATTTTTAAAGAGTCCATTCTTCCATAAAGATTAATGTCTTTCTTTATAGTAATCCCGAATATTTTTTTTTAGTTTTTGATGCTATTGGGCATGGAGTTTTTTTTTCATTATCTTTTAAAATTTTTTATTGCTAGTATTTATTTCAACAGAAAGTAGGTTTTTATTTTTCCCTATTTCTTTTGTATCTGACAATCTTGCTGAACTAATAAATTTTACTAAAAATTTAATTACTTACTAAAAATCTTAATAATTATACTGATTATGCACATGTCCTTTGGGTTTACTAGGTAGATAATATCATCTGCAAATAATGATAGTGTTGCCAACATAACTTGTAACATTAACAAAGAACAGATCTGTGTAAATTCTTCCTAGAATGGGTTGCAATAATCAGCTTCATCTATTATTTTTATTTAAATCCATAACTTTCTGATGACACAATGATATAAATAATGGTATGATTTAAATCCAGTGTATTTCAGAAACTGCTTTTGATGTCTGGAAAATTAGAAGTTAAAACCACAAGTCAGGATACAGATCTCATACTGAAAAGACAGAATATGCATTGAGTATTTTCAAAGAAAGGATAGAAAGACCCCTTTTAAATGTCCTTGGAGGAATAAGATAAAACTTATCCCAAGTGAACAAAATTATCAGAAAGGTAAATACCATCCCCAGAAAGTACGGTGAGACATATGGATAGAAATATTTCTAAACAGGGTATTTTTCAACAGTTTCTAAGAGCTCTAAGCTGCTCTTATAGAACTCTTAACTTATTGCTTTGGAGAATTAAGATAAAGTTAGCGATGACTATAACTTTCTATTAAGCAATTTTCTTTCTCAATTGTGCACAGCCACTTATGAGGCAGAACATAACAGCTCAATCAAACCTTATTATGCCAGATTTAGTTCAAATCCTTATGAAATGCTCTGGGAGAGGCTTGATAGTGTCTGAAGGAAACCTTTTCATAAATTCCACTTTTGTAAGCTAGAAATAAAATTGATATGGTAGGTACCTTTCTGTGTGTCCTTTTGTTCTTCTGCCAGATGTCCAGAGGAGTCACAATGAACTTGCTGCTTGTTATATAACAGTGAGAGAAGAATCTGGTGCCTCTGTGTGTAACCTCCAGAATTTTCAGGGTGTGGCTTAGGAATTTAGAAGCCTCTTTCTATTCCACCACTTCCAAGTTTTACTGTGCAAGGTAGTAGTGTAGTTTGCCCAGTAAGGTATAGGACTTCTCCACCTGAAACAGGAGAAGCAAATGAAAGGCCCAAACAAGAAAGTGCACTTCTCATTCAAGCAATTTCTGAGTTCTTACACAACTGAGAAAATGTATATAGTAATAATATCTGCTTTGGATGGCTGATTCTAAGGATTAGAAACTGCATATAAAATATCTATCATAAAGAGGCTAGGCTCAGAGGAGGGAATCAAATATGATAGCTGTCACAGTTATTTCTGAATTAAGAGTTTGAGTTAAATAAAGGTGCAGCTTGGAATATTGAGCACTGTATTTGTTTTACAAAGTGAAAGTAGTATGAGGATAGCCATATGCATTGGCCTTTAAAAGAAAAATCATCTGAGTATAAGCAATTACCTCTTTTATAATGTCTTAATATCATCCTAATTTATTGGATATAGAGCTCAATAAGACATAATTTATCCTTGAAAAACATTTGAAATTAGATTAGGAGGAAGACCTTGCTTTACGCCTTTATACCCCTCAAGCAAGGCCCTGTGGTCCAACGGAGCACACTGTGTTTGGGTCCTGAAAGATGGTTTTCAATAAGTGTTTCTAAAGTTGAAAATACATTTGATCTTACTGTTGAGGACACTGAGGCAAGGGACTTTGGCTCCTAATGTTTGCTACATTACATTTTTCTATACACCACCCTCTATAGTTGAACATGAATTGTATGAGACCTTTTTATATAGCATCTTCTTCCTTTTTCTATGGAGACATCTACTAGATATTTTTCCAGAGGAGCATTGATAATAATAAAGGTCTTGCTCTTTTTCTGATTTTCATAGAAATTCTGTGATAAACCTCTTATTTTTTTATACTATTAGAGAAGTAAACACATGAAGTGTTCTGTATATAGATAGATGTCAATTACAGAGTAGTGGCGAGTAAAAACTTATTTTCCTTCCCCATTTCTGGGGTATGTAAATTCTTTAATAGAGACTTTGCTGAACTTTTATCACCACTAAAAATTCCTCAGTATTAAAGCTCAGTGAAAAGAAATTCAGTGCCTGGAAGACAAGGCAATCAAACCATGTGACAGTCCCATATGCAACTCCAAATCTGTCCTCATAACTGTCTGTAGAGCTCACAAAAGAGTCACACATGTAGCTATTGGAAGAATATCTTACACAATTTGGCACACAAGTTCTAAGATTAGCAGCTGAAGAGGGGGAGGAGGAAGAGAGGAACATAATAGATTAACTGACACCCATCCACTATCTTTCTAAATTGTTTGGAATGTTAAAAATATTGTTTTGATCAATCTATATATACATCCTCAAATTTGAAAGAGAAATGCAAAGCATGTTGTGGTTGAAAGAACAAATGGTTTTTTTTTTTTTTTATAAAAAAAAAAAAACAACTATGAAATATATGTCACTGAACCAGGGAGTCCAGCCAGCTCCCAAGTGGCATGTTAACATGATGAAAAGCAAATCTAGGAGGCTGTGAATCAAAGAGGCATGGGTCTATTTTTAAAGAGGCCTGTGTCTCCCCACCCTGTTTGCCAAGTATACTTTTTCTGGAAAAGTCCAGCCTCCAAAATAGGTAAGTTTCTAAATGTTCCAGGAGTTACCCCACCCAACGTTTGACTACCTCCTCCCTTTATAAGGTCTTCGACTCTACATACATCATCATGTTAATCATTAGACAAGCAGAAGAGCTGTTCAACTAGTTCACTTCCCCTATTCTTGAACAGATTGTTTGAGACATAATATGAATACTAATTAATGATAAAATATCTGTGAGTGTTTTGAAATATGGACAAAGATAGCACTTTTAGAAAGGAGCCCAGACAGATCTTATGCAACAAGCTCCACTGGTCACATGAAGGGTCAGGGTACAACTCAGAGCTATAAGGGCAAAACTGGCAGAGTTTTTGGCTCCAATTCAGTGAAAATTTTTGATGACCTTTTTTTTTTGACGGGAGTCAATCTGACTATCTTTTTAACCTTGTCTTTCTGTTGAATTGGAGTTTGAAATGAAAACTCTCTTCATAATCAAACGGAGAGAAAAACAATCAGAACTTTCTTAGCAGTTAACTTAAGTTGTTGGAGGAACAAGACTCCTGCATATTTGATCCAGGATTATGGGTGTATGCTCTGCAGCAGAAGTATACAAGCCGTTGAGTGTAAGCAACAGTCAGTGCTGGAGACTGATTCAGGCTCTCTAATGCAGAGGCAGGGAAAGTTATTTAAAAATATGATCCCTCAGTAATTTCTGTTGTACAAATAACTTGTTTCAGCTCAAGGAAGTGTATCCATAGGTATGGGAAACTTAGTTTTATGTTAATGGGAAAAACATATTATTCAATTCAATTATGAAGATAATTAAAATATTATCTTTTGCTGTAAGAGCCTAAACTACTGCCAACACATGTTATTCCCCCTTTCTTTCTAAAATTGAATATTATATTTTTCTCTTCATAAAAGCTTTTAAAACTTGCCCCATCTTGTCTCAGACACTTTATCCTTTAAAACACTAATCTTTGTATTCTTCTCTGTCTTGATATCTAACATGAATGCTTACTTAGTGCTTTATTGTCTTTTGGTCTTGGTCATAGCCATTTGTTCTAATGTCAAAGAAAAGAGATGAGGATTATCTAAAAATAAACATAACAAAATAATTTATATTTGACCTTGGGATTGTTTTAAATTGAATTTTAAGAATGGGCTACATGAAGTATTTGAGTAATTTGTTTTCCTCATTCAAGGAACTTAAAATGTTTCATGACAGTCTGATTTGGGGGAAAAAAACCAAAGTTGGCCACAGTCCACATTTTGTGTCCAGTTAATCTTATCTAGATGTTTTGAGGACTACAACTGGGATACCTACACTATCCTGGAATTAGATGATTCTTTCCAAGACCAATTTAAGGCTTACCGTATTTCAAACATTTTTGAGGACATGGTCATGATAAATGACCAATTATTTGCATTTCAAAATTTTTCTTTACACTCAACTAAATCTAGAACAGAGATGTCAAAAAATTTGTAATTATCAAATGATAAAGTAAGAAAAGAAAACATAATAAAGACAATTTATTTTAGATATGACTTTTGTGATACCACACTTTTATGTTGGCTTACAATTATTCATATTTCTTTTTATGTTTATTAATGTGTGCCCACTTCCTATTGCTAATATTTAATGGCTATAGCAAGGCTTATTCTAAATACTCAGAAAAAAAAAGAGATATGAGAATGCTTTCTGAGGCTAATACACACAATGTCCTGGGGCAAGTCTTTTCCCTCTGACTTGTTTTCAGGGTGGACCTGACCCCTTGACTTGAGACAATATTTCATATTCGGTCTTGCTTCCCCAAAGCCATGTTATTGGAGCTTGTCACCTGGACCCCCTTTTGTATCACAGATATCCAAAACTAACTTGCATCTAGGGAAAGCACCCACTCTTACATCCAGGCCCTGTGTCTAAGATCCAAACCCAGGTAGACACTTAGATCTTTGCTTACCGAGATGGTGAGACAGATAAACTTTATGGAAGACGAAAGTCACACCATCTAATTGTTCCATGTGTTCCAAGCATCCTCATATTGATATTATAGTACATTGCTCAGTAAATACTAGAGATGGTGTTATTCTTACAAATGGTAGCTAGAACACCAGTTTATATAGATTTACTTGAAATTTCCCAAGAACAGTTAGAAGTACTGTTAGAACTTTTGTATTGGTTTGATTTTTACATTATAAATATTATAGGACAAAATAGAAGTTAAAATAATCTTATAAACAGAGTTTACGTGTAAAATCTTTAGGAGTAAAGAGTGTATAGTAAAGGATTTATTCTCATATACTTCTGTTATTCAGGCTCAAAAGCTAGGAAATTTCCTGAACTCTTTCTTTCTTTTACACATCCCTTTATTTCCCAGGAGATCCTGTTAATTGTACCTTCGAAATATATTCAGAATCTAACCACTTCTCACCAAGGTCAATGCTACCATCCTTATCCAAGTCACTATCACTTTTCACCTGGATCACTGAAATAATTACTTTGTTGGTCCATCTGCTCCTACTGTCGGTAGAGTCTATGCTCAAGCCAGTCTAAGTGACACTCTTAACATGGAGTCACATCAAGTTAATCCTTTGCTCAAAACATTCTTGTTTCAATAAAAACCAAATTGTATCCCGCAGCCTTTCGGGCCCAGCACAAACCCTAGCCTTCCCCTCTTACCTGTATGGTCTTGCCTTCTATCATTCTCTTGCAAGTTCACTTTGCTGTAGCCTCATTATTCTTGTTGTTTCTGAAATTATTCTCAAACCTTGAACATTTCCAGTTTTTCACACTTCCACAGGCTGTTTCCTCTACCTGGATTGCCCCCGTGCCGATAATCTGTGTGTATACCTCCTTTACTTCCTTCATGTTTTGCCCAAAAATGATATCTTCTCAATGAGCCTGTCCTTGATCAGTCATTTAATTGTAATTCCCCCCTTTTTCCCCCTACTTCACTGCCTCCATTACCAATCTCTCTTATTCTGACTATTTTTTTATCCCTATTAACATATAAATTCCAGGACAACATCATAGAACCCAGCACACGGTGGGGGTTTGCAGAAAGGATCCACTGCCATTGCAGAAGCAGCACAGTGACTAATAGGGGAGCAGCTTTACTGAGAACAAATACAAAAAATCTTGGAAAACACCGTAAAAACAGAACAAAGATAAGGAATATTCTTTAGTACTTCCAAACAGTTCCTTTGCTTAAAATAAACCAAAAGATTAAGAAAAAGGCAATCTATAGTGTCATGCTTTATTTTAGATGAGGGCAGAGAAA